CCACATTTTAAAGGGACACAGTAGCATGTCTGTGCTGTATGTCTGTGTGTGTTATTTACACCACAGGAAGCATTTACACTTCCAAAAATCAAAACTGCAATTACAACAACAGATTCACCTTGTGACCTGCAGGTACCCCAGGATCACACACAGCTGCAAGGAGCATGGTCACCAACAGGTCCTGGACCTTTTCCATATTTTCCCCAATGTTCAGTAACCCTTCTTGAAGGTCACCTATAGTGAGCGGGTCTGAATTTAAATCCAGTCCCAGCACCTTTCCAAAGCTGTGCAGAAACTGCAAAACCATCAGGCAGTTAGAGAAGGTGCTTCCTGCTAATACCAGACCAGGGATACGGGACAACTCTGGAAGAGGCTGTAAAGAAATGCAAATAAAAATTTAAAGTATGATAAAACCTACACAGAAATTATACACAAAACTATACAACTATAATAGTTACTGGATTGCAGTTTATCAAACATTATTGTAAACTGCTCTGATTTTGAAATTAAAAATGGTTTGCATGTTCCAAGACATTTTTCAGTGAAGGACTAGTTTGAACACTTGGTCAGTGTTATAACACGAGCAGCCACACTGTGGCACTGTTTTAACCCTTTTCATGATTTCCAGATGCTTTAAATTAAACTTAAACATCTGTTTTGTTACAGATTGTGAAACAATTATACCATAAATCACCAAAAGCAGTTCTAATCTTTAAGGATGTGCACAGCTCCAATAATGATTATACTGGTTGATAACTATATCAAAATAATCACTGGACTGGTGGGAAATCTGATCTTTCAGACAGATGGACACTATTCAAGGCGGCTATATGAACTCTTATTTCTATTTGCCAACATCTCAGCCAACATTATCACAGAGCGTGTATACCTTATGATCCGCTAAACACATGTCCTCATTTGGCTTCTTCAGCTCCTTTGCTTTTTCCAGTTCTAGTCTTCTGAGCTCCAGTTTCCTCTCCTTGTTCAACTGTTTCTCATCTTTCTTTTCTTTTTTCAGACGTTCCTTCTCCTAAAGGAAAGTTAAATCCTTACAAACAATATACTTATATTTACACTGATTTACAAAGTGAAGAACAAAAAAGGAAATAAAAAAGAAATGCTTTTAGGATCACCATGTGCTTTCTTGTACTGTGTTCTGCATTAGTGAATGAATGAATTTATAATTTTATTTTCATGTCTGGTCATTTACATGGCCAGTTCCTCATGAAATTATTCAGTCATAAACAGACCGCACATGATGTTCCACGAGATGCTCAACAAAACAACAAGCACAAACACAATCCAACAAACACATGAGTCTAAGAATAAAATTTATTTTATTCTTCACCTCTTATATTCAGTCACACCTCATGTTATGTGCACACAGAGGGACCACAACACCATATTCAACAGATTTCCTCAACCCATCTTTGTGTGCAGTTAGTCTAACACAGCATTTACACTTCTCCACGTCCTTCTTCTTAAGAACATGTCTATTCGGACAGGAGTGGTCTCTTCCAGGATGATAACACTCTCAGCCACAAGTCAAAAAGGGGTTACTAAATAATTTAACCATGATGGTAAGGCCTTCAACAGATCTCAAAATAACAGGACACCTGTGAGAGATTGTGCACTATTATTTGAAACGATCAGAAGAAACTGGAAATAAAGGTGTTTTTTTTTTTATTTCTCTAAAAGAAGAACAGATTTTGGGAATCTGTGTCAAAACTAACTTTTGTTTTAAAGCCCTTCTGGCGTTATGTGATACTAGGGGTGCAACGATACTCGTATCGATATTGAACCGTTCGATACAGT